AAGTAAATGAATCCTGAAATGATTTTAAGGCAAATTTTTTAACTTCAAAAATTCAACAATAATAATATAAAATGTATGCAAAATGATTTCTAATCAAACGAAAAGATGATCAATCGTTCCATATGAATATTTTCAATTTTTATAATAATAGACGTGAGCGAAACAGCTTCTCAACTCGTTCCGTAGTTTCTAAAAGCAATTTCAGGCGGGTAATTGATCGCCGCGAGAGAACCCACGGGGGGAACGGAGTTTCGCGTTTTCGCGGAGCTCTCACGATCGACGTGGGACAGATTTACAGCGATTAAAACGTGCGAAATCGGTGAAACTCCTACCAGAAGGATCCGGCAGAGTTTCCCGCCGGTATCATCCGCGTATTTTCGTCCGATGCTCTTCACAGACGATTTCGCGGGTCAAATTGCCCGAGAATCTCGCCGGAATTTATTTCGACGTGAACCTCCACTGAAATTTCTTAAACCGAGTGGAAAACATAATAGCTGTTCAGATTAGATAACGAAGAAAAGTTGCCAGTTTAATTATTGATCAGAATATAAAATATAGAACGAAGAGAAAAAAAATCCATTTTACATTCTCTTTTTATTCGGATGATTTTTCTTTCAATCTTTGAATTCAGTTTCACCCTGAGAATGCTTGCCAAATCCGAGTGCAATTGTCGGTGCATTTTGACGTATCGACAAATCGAATCTGGAATGGCCGTTCGAAGTTATTCGTGTCAGATGATAAGCTGAGATAGGACGGGACAACGCCAGGGGATATCTTGTCCCCGAGGTCGTAGCTGTTGTCTATCCGTCGTGAATTTAATTGAACACCGATGGCTAGATTCTCGTTCTTGCCCAAATACGGAGGGTATCAGTGTCCGCGTCCAGGTCTTATCTGGGTCACCGTTCGCCTTGACGCAGCTTTGTATGAATTTTAAACAAGCAGTCACTGCTCGCCGTTCCTCCGTACAAAATAGCCCGGCCATTCTTTCGCCAGGAAAAACGAGGCAAACTGCGTTAAATTCAGAACGACTCTTTCATGATAAACGCTGTACTTTCGTCGGGATTAAAATGCGTCAACTGAATTATCCCGGTGCTTTATCATTTTTACAATTGTTACCAACAAAGAAATTGCAGTTGCTGAAATTTATTAAGCAAACCGTTTCAGAATGTGTTTATCTAACACTCGGGATACAACTCTTTCGTCAAGATTAAAACGTCAAATAAATTATCCGCTCCACGGTTCCAAGTACCAATCACCGCGCACACTTGTTAGCATTAATTTGTCGGTCGCGCTATCGCGGAGACGCTGTACCCAGAGAAAAACGAGCAACGGAACCGTTGACAATGGCCGTTCGTGTCAAGGTTTATCGGCGCGCGGTTGATAGTTGAGGCAGGTCCAAGTTCGCAATGCGGGAGGGGAATTCCGAAAATTCGCTATCGGCGTTGGGGGACAGGCCAGATAAGCCGAAACTGCTGCCACTAAATTTTCAATGCAAGACGTATGATATTCCTATTTTCACGTTCAATGAATTTTCACGGTTTCTTTTCAAGTAAAATCAAGTACTGGAATTGTTTTCTCTGACTTTGTTATGCGAGATAAAACATTTGTGATGTTTAACTGGAAAATGAAATTTAGATAGGAATTCACTATTTTCTGCAGATACAATATTTTTATAAGTGGACAAAATCTAAAGTTTATTATATAAATATAAAATTTGTTATCATTTATTTTATTTGCATTGCAGACCTAACGTTTATTACAAAGGAAAGGGTATGTAGATGTTTATCACTAATATTGGTATTTACACTGTATAAAGCATATACAAACAAAATCAGTATATAAATTGAATGATACAAAATGAACTAAAATAAGAATTTAAATTACGTTCCACTCTTTTAAACGTAGCTCTCTAGCACCCATCACTGACTACAAATAAAACAAATCTTTGACCTTATACACATTATCAATTATCAATATTTGCGGAAACTCTTTAGGGCCATCTTCTGATCTATTCTGAGGACAGTCCATCTCCCCACAGTTGTCATATTTCGGTGTATTAAACGGTTAAATATAAGCAGAATAATTCTCAGACAAAGCCAGTACTTGAACAGATTAAAAGGGATAGAGAAAATGTCGTTGAAGGTTTTATTTTTTCGAAACGATAAGATTGTTATCTAATCGGTGATGATGGATCGTTTCCGGGCAGACTGATAATTGGAGTGAACAATGGGATGGGCACTTAAGCCCGGGCCGATTTTTCGTGACAGCCGTGATCTCCGGTGAACAATGGTGAACGGTATCGATGGGACGGTGATGGGGATTAATGGCCCGTGTCTCTACCGAGATTTTCACGCCGCGAAACTACCTACGGCAACCGCGTTCCACTTTAGTAACGTGAAAATAGTAACCGTAAAAGAGTCGTACGTCATTCAATACTAACGCCAAGGTGAATGATGTTCATAGTACTTTATGGCCCCGCTGGGATTCAACTATCACATGTTACATTCTATGAAATATTGCCTTAAACCTTGTATCGTTCATTAAATGAAACATTGTAACAATTACTACGTGTAACATTTTATCAAACTTTGTATTAGTCATTAAATAAAACATTATAGCAATTATTGTATGAAACGTTGCAACAATTAGCTAGTCGCAACTCCTACTTCTATGATAAAGTCTGTAACTCTTAGAAGAATATCAAAGGAAAGAGACCTTCGGTTTCCAAAGACGGTTGAACCGTGGATAACGAGGAAGCTTTCAAAGCTAACGTAAAATTCGTGGCTGGAAGATCCTGAACAATGAGGGGAGCAAGGAAGGAAATCGAGTCAAAGTTAGTTCGTCGAGAATGACACAATGCTCGGGAATTCGCTGGTTAATACATAAAGCAGTGTTCTACTTGCACGCAAATTGAGGCGTCTCACCTGAATGAGACCAGGTCTCGACGCTATTAGCACAGGAGGACGAGCCTGTTCAATTTTACACTGGACTGACGGGAATTCGATTTCACGGAGGATCTTACGCTCTGACGCGTTCACGAACTCAAGCGGACGAAGATGAGACGAGTCACGAGACATCCGGGACAGATTAAAACAGATGTCAAGTTTTATAAAGAGGTTGATAACCATTGTGGTATCCACGCAGTTTCTCTTACTTTTATTTAGGTTGGTACAACCAGCAAATAGGTAATCGCTTACATAAAACTAGTATGTGTCGTAAATATAAAACAAAGGCTTTTCATACGTGGTTTAATTTTCGAGAAAATTCAGTTTTAAAACTCGTTAAGTATGCGTGCACTTGGACTATGTCTACTTTGTTCACCTGATCGCAATTGCTATAGTAATTTATATGTTTAGACAATACGAATGTAGTAAATGTCCCAAACAATTTCTATTCATTGCCTTTTCTCTCCCGTAATTTTACATGTTAAGCCAGTGAATAGAAATTCTGACATGTACAGAAATTAGGACATTTACTATAGTAAATTATAATGTCCCACAACTGATTTATTTCAGTAATTCACAAATATTGAGAATGTGTTTCATGTTGTGGGTAAATTCTTGCTAGTCGAATTGATGAAGCATGAACTGAAGGTAGTGTATTTGACCTTTCGGATGATCGAAGATCTGAATGACATCATTCATGTTAC